TATACGCATCTCTGAAATTTTTGGCAGCTGGGATAATCACCCATTATTTATCCTTAGCTAAAAATATAATAGATATCTCTCTGGCTCATAGGCTGACCTTACAAAGCTTTCATTCATTTTGTTCTTTTCCATCAAAATTATTATCTTTCCTGAACCCAAAATCAGACACATTAATCAAAATGCAGTTGAACCACCAGTGTGCAAGCAGAAGCTCTCACATCCCCAGCCTATGTCATGGTGCCTTGTTACTAGGCAGCCACAGGGAGCACAACTTCCAACATATATTTTAATTATTCCTTCAGCCTCTAGACAGACACAACTGATTAGAGGGTGCTTATACCAAAATGGGCATCAGGATTTTATGCAAAGTGGGAGAATCCCTGGCGCTTTACCTGGATCAGGTGTAGAAGTGTTTCCTGCAGCTGCATCTTCGTCATGGAGGTGCTGCTGGCCACAGCTGGCTCTGGGGTTTGCAGGGGCAGGAGAAGGTTGGCTGAGCTGGCAGCAGGGTCTTGGCTGGCCCCTGCCAACCGCCCACTGTCACTGGCTTTTGGTGGAGCAGGTGTGGACTGAGTGAACACCATGGGGGACATCAACAGGGTCGGAGTCACAGTGGCAGGAATGCGCTGAGGTGAGATTACCTGCCCATATAAAAATAAAGTCACCAATTAAACCTATCCACTTAATTCTATGGGAATGGAGATGATGAAAACTGCAGAGAAGTTGGCAACAGGCGCAGAGACTGCTGGAGATGGATACACTGATGTGAAACTCCGGCTCAGAACCACCTATATGGTCTATTTTCAGATTAAAAGGTCTTCCATGCAACTTGAGATTGCAGCAATGGATTCAAGAGTGATTAAATCTATCTGATACGCACATGATCTTAGGACAAGAGCATCTTATTACAGAAATCAGACCACTATTAAATATCAGTAGTTAGAGAATGCAGCTGTAAAGTCTTCTACACAGGGACAGTAAGTCAGTACGTTTCATCTTTGATAATATACTTACATGCAACTATTACTACTAAAGACTGATCTTTTTACCTTACACTAGAAAGTATTTTCCAATTAAAATTTTCACATTACTTTATAGATACATATATGCATATATTTTATCTTCTCATTTTCTTAAGGAGAATGGAAAAAATCCAGAGATTAAGTGATTTATCTAAGAGTCACAGTGATATGGTGGCACTGTCAGAAACAGAACTCCTAACCAACACAGAGTTGCCAAAATCAAAACGACTCTCAAAGAGAATGAAAGCCTTGATGCTGCAGCAGTTCTGCAAGTTCACTCAGTATCCTAACTATGGCAACCTGCAAAGATGGGCGTCAAATAATTTTTAATTTCAAAATTTGCAATGCATCTTGGAGCTGTAAAACCTGTGGGATTAGCAAATACTACCAGATGTAACATACAACATAACAGAAAGTTAATTCACTCGGTTTGCAGATATTAGACCTCTCTCCAGGTAATTCTAGTAATAAATCTTAATCCTAAACAGCCATCTTCTTGCTATTCATGTATCCAACCTTCTGCTCAAAGAACAGAAAATACAAACTAATTGATACGAGCTCACCAAAGCTCCTTCCTTTTGAACTGGAACATGATTTATTGCTATTATATAAAGGTGAAAAGCTACTGAATCACTTCAGTCTGTGTCCTGGGTTACATTTCAGTTTTGAAGAAAAATTAAAATTAAGAAAATAAAACTGAGGCTGTTCCCCTAGGTATGCAAAACCCACATAATTTAATATTAAAGAACATTCCTATTTTTGTAGCTTGTCTTACTCCTAGTTATGATCATTGTACCCAAGACATTCTTGAACAACATGAGTGAGATCAAAACATAAAAAGAAATGAGGAGGACAGTTCTCATGCTGTTTTACAGAAAATTTAAGGAAGCAGAAAGCCTAGGGGTTAAGAAAGACTCATGGGTATTAGAGAGCATGCAATATGCACCTAATGCAAAAACCTCCCCTACCTTTTCAATATTTACCCAGTTAGGTAAATATTGTTTCTGTTTCTCAAATAGAGAGCACTACTTCAAAACTCTTGACCTGCAGCTTTTTTCCAACCCCATGTCATGCAATCATAACAGTGATCATCAGACCTTGTGTTACAAGCTCCTGAACGAGCAGAGGTTTCACTAACTCGCTGTAGGTTTGCTCCAAACAGTCAGGTAGTGCTTATGTTTGCTCACCTCTGCTTGAAAATCAACACTGAATTTAGAAGAAAACCAATGTGAGTCCAAAGTGACATCCCCCTGTGGAGCGAGACCTTCGGAGTGGGCACAGATGTTCTCCTGTAAGTGAGAGGATTCTTCTCCTGCCTCTGGAAGACTGTCTGTCCCCAGACACTTATCATAATTTCTGCTCTACTCATCCATGCTGCTGAAGTAACTTCTCTTTAATTTACCTCCAGCAAAATTGGCAGGGTTTGCTTAAACAAGATGACTCTCCCTAATGTGATTTAAAGAATGGATATACAAACTGCTCTGCAAGGGCAGAAACCTCCCGCAAAGGGAAGGTTGGGAGCAGCTGGAGGAGATAATCTGTCCCACTGACATGGCTGAATCTACCACAGACTGTGTCAGACCTAGATAACGCATCCCTCGAAATCGAAAGACATTTTTCTCTAGAGTCCAAGGCAAATAAACAAAACCTGAGACAAACTGCCCTCTTAGTAACATGCAGTGTCTCCTGTCAAACATGGACACACGCTGTGGTTTAAAAGACACGTGAAGAATTATGTCTTCTCAGCACAGAAACGCTTTTGGTAGGACTTGCCAAGCATATGGAAACTATATGGAATGAGCAATATTGCCATCTACTGGTGACACAGCCAACATCTACAGGTCAGTGCAGAACTTCAAACATCTAGGTCAGAAGAACAGAAAACATACATCTCTTTTTTTCAGTGGATAGCATTTGTGTCTCTACACGATATTAAAATGAACTTTTTGCTAAGTGTTCATGCTCAAAACTTCTCTCATCTAACAAACTTTTACATAAACCACATGGGTTGTTTTTTGGGTTTTGTTTTTTAATATAAAGGAAAATTTTCATTTCAGATTCAGTTCAGATCACCTTGAGTCACTGGGACAAATGACACCCACCAAAAAATGGGATGCTGTCTTGACATTAATTGCAATTCCTATAACACGATACTTTTGCAGAAAGCACTGAAAATGCTCTGTAAGGACATTAACAGCCTTTGGACCAATCTTACAGCTTTGAGTCACAAGTCATAGCAGCCCTTCCAAAATTCTGTTGATCAACTTCTTTCCCACAGAACCTGAGTTGCTTGTTCACCCGGCCTCTACTAAATTATCTGCAGCTTTATCAGGTCAACACCTAAATCTCTGAGTCACTAAGAGTAGGAGTCTACCAGCAGCTGTGCAGCAATGAAGTAAGAACAGTGAGAAAGGTGCAAAACAATTGTTGCAGTATACAGTATTCCTCCTTTGAAGCCCAAGTGCTCCCTAAGATATCAGTCTGAGATTCTGCGTGGCTGCTGGCAGATAGATGACATGGTAGCTGGCAAATTCACGTAACACCATGAGCTAAGGAATGCACCAGATCTCCTGTAATGCAAACTGATAGCTCTGTTGCTCCTGCGTGAGCAGAATCCCACGTGCACCAAGTGCTCCCCTGGAACATCGGAACATCAACACCCAGTGGGTGCTGTGAGCCTCCAACAGTTTTTAGTGGCATTACTCAAAACTGAGAACATCTAATCTAAGAATGGCTCAAGAACTTTAAATGCAGTTAATTAAAATAAAGCTGGTTACAATGCTAACACGGTTTTGTCTTTCAAGTTCAATTTAGAATATTTAATTGATGTTTAGCTACAGAATCTTAAATTAATTTTTGAAACAAGTTTAATGCACCTATTTGCATTCCTCCTGTGCATTTACAATCTCCTGCTGGAACTGCAGTCAGGACAAAGGAGAGGCAATGGTGTGATGCTCACACCAAGGATTCAAGATACCATGCACATCCTCAGACGATGTAACGCTATGTACAAAATACACTCTTGACAGAAAAATGCTCCAGGAAATGAGAAAAATGAGCTGCAGGAGAAGTGGCCTTCTGCAGAAAAGATAAATTTATGTCTGGGTTCTTGTAAGCACTTTTAAAACCATAATTCTGATTAACATAAACACTTAAGCACGCATGTATCTATAATCAGGATAACACATGCCTAACACTAAACATATCCTTAAAAGCCCACTGCAGATTAATGCTTTTTTATTGTATCTTAAGCACACGTTACTCACTGTCTGCATAAGGAACACTTCACAGAATAGGGCTGGCTCCAGACCAGACTGAATGCTTCCAAGTATTATTCTTTGGCTTTTGCTTTTCTCTTCTTTTTTTTTTTTTTNTTTTGGTAACTGGCCTCTTCCTTTCCATGTGGGAGATCACAGTTCTTATACCATATGGAGATGCAGCAGAAGCCAATTTAAACTTGGACTTGTAATGTGTCAATTGTGGAAAAGACTATTGCTTTCATTTTCTTAGTGCTGCTGATGGATTTAGGGTGTTCCTTTAATATGATTTTTCCAACAACAGACACTGTCCAGATACCTCTCTATTTCTGTCAGACTTTTTCGAATTTGCTCTTTCTGCATGCTGAAGTGTAGCAGAAGAGGCAATACCAAAAGACAAATAATTACAGAGAACAAACCTTTTGCAGCGTTTGTTGTCAGAATCTGCTTTGATCAATTTTGCATGAGCATGTGCAGATGTATTTGTGCCAATTCAATTGCACTCCAGTGTCTACTCTGCAGGCATGGCAGCACTTAAAGCCTCTGGTCTACTGCAGGGATAATATTATAAAGATTAACGTTGGTTTTAAAAGTTGTTTTTTATCTTCCAGGTTTTTTTTCCAAAGGAGGTATATTTCATGTGGCTTCCAGAGGAACACGGGCTCGCTCCTTCATTTTTAGCCTCCCTGCCTTTGCTTTTTTGGCAATCTACTGCATGTGAAAGAGGCCATTCCTTCCAGACTGCAGAGCTTTAGGTGTCCTAAACAACAATTAGTCATGCTTTCATTATCATTTTAGTCTATGCATTAAATCTCAAAAGCAATACTAAATGTGTAGGAAGAGCTGCATCTAATAGTGTTTCGATAGCAGCTGTGGCTGTGTCAGCCTGTGAAGCCACTCCTAGACAGTCTCAATCTCCTTGGTCTGCTCACAGCCACAGGAAAGGAGACTGAGAGTCTCAGTTGCTTCCTTTTTTTTTTTTTTTTTAAGGTAAACTTGCAGCAATAATCACAGTGAATGAGAGACTTGGTCCAGAGAAGATTTTTCTTTTCTCACAAGCTAGTGTTCTATCCAAACTCGAGCAGTAAAATCGTTGTAATTGCATTATGTCAGACCTCAGTAATTGCCTTTCAATATTGCAACTAATGCTGGCATCGTTTTCTTTTTCATATATACACAGTCATTAGCCATAGCAGCATCTATGGGGATTTTTAATTTGAAAAAATATATCAGCATATTTCCTTTTTTCTTATTTATGCCTAATGACTGGCACTTGCCTCATTTCACTTTTACCTTCAAAGTAGGAATGTCTGAGGTCCTTATGCTATCAGTACACGTACCAGTGAATCAGATAACTTCTTACATTCAAAGCAGGCAAGTTCCATTCCCAGTGAAAACAAGTGAATTTTTGTGACTCTGGATCTTCTTTTTATTCTTTTGCTCTCCTCTGGAAAGTCAGTTACCATCTGTAAGCAACTGATTCTGAATAATTTTAATGACTAATCCCCAAAAAACTCTTTCACACGGAGATTCAAAATCATGCTGCATTAATTAAGACAACAAAAATAATGATGGCTATTTGCTATATCAAATTCATCTTCCTCTGACCTCTCTCATGGAATTAGAAAACTTGACCTGTCACAGACTTAGTGACAGATGTGGCCCTTATATTGTTAAATGACTGTTTCAGCCTCTTCACATATAGAACAACTTTCTAGTATGGGGAGGATTCTTGGAGCACATTGAAGTATTCTGGAGTCTTTCATTCAGGTTTTGATAGAAACAGAAAAATAGAATAAAATAGAACAGTGGAATAGTTGCAATAGAAAAGCAGCTTCTGAACTTTACACTGAAAAGGGGAATGCTTTTTCAATTGGATAAGTGACTTCCAGACTCAAATACAAGTCATACTCCAGTACAACACAAGTCTAGTGGAAGGTCTGTCCACAATAAAGGAAGCTGAAAAGAGCTTAGATGCATCCCTAAACAGGACATGTAAAGACATTCTAGTGTAGAAGATCCTTTAGAAATGTCCAGGATAGGACATTTTGCAACTGGATGTGCTGCTCTTCTGAAGACCAGAAAAAAGTACTCATGACAGAGATACAGTCTCTTGACACCTGAATTTTTTAAGACATCAATCTGACTTTTAGGATCAAAACCACCAGAATTATGGGGATTTGCTTTTTTGATGGCATTTAGGTACAAGACCTTTTTTCAAAATAACAGATAGCAAACAAAAAAGAAGAGCTAATGAATAGCTAGAAGTAACAGGTGTGGTACAAGATAACTAATTCACCAATATACAAGCACTTCAGAAAGCTGCTGTTAGAAAACAAGGGACCTTTTAAGCATCTTTAGCAACTGGAATACAGAAGAATGCATATCTACAGAGAGAAAGCTATAACTAATTTTGTAGAAAAAATTGTTAAACCCAAAATATTACACTCATTAACCAGCAATGACACACAACAGCCTGAGACTAAATATGGGAACTGAAAAGTAGGTGACTTTTCAAAGGGCCTCTGGAAAAACCCAACCCTGCAGTATTTTTTGGTCATCCCTGATATGCAAGAGATGTGGCATTCAGTACTTAAAACACCTCATTTTGGTAAATCAGAACTTACCTGACGTTGTTAAAGTATCACCTGCAAAATGAAAGACGTGCAACATGTGGGAAGACAGTTACAAGAATACGCTGGCCAAAATGAAGCAAAGACTAACATAATAAATCATCAAGTTTAAAAGACTGCACGAATTTTGTTTATTTATTTATAATTTTTAAAGTTCCCATTTACCTGAAAGAGTGCACTCTGTTTTTCTGTACCCGGTGCCTTTTCTATCCAGGAGTCCAGTGGTTTCAGTGTATTTGTAGTCTGAGTAACAAGAGGAAACTTAGCTGCCAACGTTGGTCTGCTGGATACATGCAACTGTTGCTCTTGTTGCACTATCTGGAGTTTTTTCAGTAACTCTTGAGGTGAAATCACCCCAGAATTGGCTGCTTGATTGCCAGAGAGAGAAAGTGGCTGCCTGGGAAGTTTGGATTGTTCTTTACCAAGTGTCTGAGCCTCTAAAGTCTGGCCCGGTATGGACCCGTTGAAATACACCAAAGGTGGCTGGCTCATGTTATTCCCTGTCGCTGCTGGTGCTCCCACAGCAGCAGGAGTCCTGCTGAACACGGAAGCCGTCGAGTTCACAGGTGCTGTCGCACCGGGGTCCATTTTTGTCACTGCCCCTGACTGACTCTGCAGTTTCTGCAGCAAGCTCTGAGTGCCAGCAGCGTCCTGAACCACGTGAGATGTCGCGATACCGTGAGAAGTCACAGGTTGGAAGAGCCCTGTGAAAGTCTCCCCCGCGGGGTGGATGTTGCCGTTTTCACAGAGCCGGTTCTCAGGGAACTCGGCGAGGGGGTGAAGGTCTGTCCCACGCACCATCAGCTTCTGAATGGCGGGGCAGAGCTGCTTCTCCGCAGAGGGCGACTGCCTGCCGGGCTCCTCGTAGGACAGCGAACGGACCACACCCTGCCTGACGGGAAGGTTCTCCTGGTGCTGCTTGTTCAGTGGTTCTGAGACATCCTGCTTTCCAAACAGTGCTGTCAGAGACAAGTGCTGTGGTTCAGGATCCGCATTCTGTGAGGGGACAAAGGAAAAGGGTAAGCGTAGTTCCCTCACGCCTAAGTTGCACTAAGTGGTGACAGTATTTAGCCAGCGGTATTCAAGGAAAAGCTGAGAAAACCGCTATGCTCTTTTTTCCCCAAGAGGGTTTTTAATAGTTTTGTCACATAGGAAGGGCAAGAAGACTGCTGCCAAGCTACTAATGTGGGAGAAAAATCACTGAATCTGAGATATAGCAGTGGCTTTGCTTTAAATATCATGAGAGAGCATCTTCTCTTTCAGCCATCAGTGCAATATTAGTAAGAGACAGAAATCTGCCTGTGTATGAAGTAGGGCTGCTTCTTGTGCATCTGCTGGTCACAGCTGAATTCAGTTTTTAGGATTTGGCAGTGTGATTTGGCTTGAAGATATATTGAGACTTTTCTTTATTTAGATTCAATTATTTCACCTAAAGAAAAAACAATAAACACAAAAGCTGTGGTCCGGCAATTGACCAGATAAACTTGTGATCAAAGAAGCACCTAAAATTTGAAAGACTAATATTTCTTTGTGGCATCAGGATAGCATGTCTGTAATTCACGTGCTTCCACATCGTACGGTGGGGGTTGGGGAGCTTTTATAAAACAGATGAGTTGTGCGTTAAAATCATCCCTTACAGTGGTTCCATCTCAGATTCCTGCACTGACCTTCCCACTGAAATAAATATTCCTACAGGGTCACTTGATTACAGCAGCACTAGTCAGAAAACACACAGCACATTTTACCTTGCTTTGCTGAGAGAGTCGTTGATGCTGGTTTTCACTGGGCTTCACTGGGATCGGTTTGATTAGGTTGGGGTTGTTATAGATTGCAGAGGAACTGGTTATTTGTTTTGGCTCTGAGCAGGTCTTACACTGCAACAGAAAAGAAGTATCTTTTAGTAGGTGTGACAATATCTTTTCCCCATAGTTTGCAACTGTAGTAAAATACAGACATAAACAGGTATTCAGTAACCACAAATGCTAATTGCAGCACTGATTATGAAGTATCATGCTACTGGAAAAACTATAACAACTGCAACCTAATTTTCTAGAACCACGAGGCATATGAAAAATGAACACTTGATTCCAACATTTCCCTAGTATGAGACTTCCCTCTAATTTAAATCTCAGTACTTTTTTTGATCTTCTGCTTTTCCTGCACTTAACAGAACATAAAATAATTTTTAAAAGCACTTTAGAAACCAAGGAACAGACATGCTTTTCCTGCATCAATAGGCAGCTAGAAGTAGTTCAGATCCATAAAGGATAAATGTGCCTATAAAGAACACTTAAAATGCTTTTTTTAAAGAGCAGAATTATAACTCAAACTCTTCTACATAAATCTTCAGTTTGTGGGAACTTGGAGGATGCATATATCTGCACAGAAAATTAATGAAAGATTTAATCAGTTTGTAAAATCAGTATGTTTTCTTATTAAATATGACAATATTAATAACAAATTTATAAAAAGATGGGCAGAGACAAATAACTAAAAGTGATCAGGGACATGGAATGACTGTCATATGAAAAGGGCAAGATTTAATTCAGAGAAAACCCACAGAAAATGCTGCATGAAATAGATAGAAAAGGTGAATAAGATGCTCCTTTTTACATTGTAAAATATAAGAATATAGTCAATGAAACTAAAAAAAAATTTGAGTATACAAAGAATGCTACTGTCAGTAGAAAAGAAAACAGTATATTGGAAGTCATTGTCACTTGATACAATTGAAACCAAAAAACTGGAAAGACTTTGAGAAGAATTATCTAACAAAAAGTTAATTCTATCCAACAATAACATTCATAGTTAATTATCTGAATTTGATGGGCTCTAAATTTTACACTGCAGGACAAATGGTTGGGTGAGGAATGATCAGTTTTGGTTTCTCATTCTTTCCTCCAAAAAGCCCAGTCTTGTGTGTTACTGGGAACAGAATTCTGGGCTGGGCAGACTATGTGGACACACAGCAGAGTCACTGCCAGAGTCACTGCCAGTGTTCTTTCCAGAACTTTCTGAGACAAACTCCTTGGCTCCCTAGGCTAGGTGAGAAAATAACCCCCACTCTCAAATATACAAAACTCATCATTTAATTGATTTCTGACACCTACTGCAGCAATAAACAAAGACATGCTGGTGCCAGGCCTGCTCAGTAAAGCAGACCCAGAGTTCTCCTGGGGACTTAAGGGGCTCTAGGAGGTCCTGAATGCTTTCTCTGCAACATTTGTCCTCAGGAATCCCAGGCCCCTGAGGCTGCTGAGAAAGTCTGGAGTGATGAAGACTCACTTGGTGGGGGAGGATCAGGATAGGCAGCATGAAGCACCTATTTGATCCATACTAAAACAAGCGAAGACGATTTTGTTTTTCAGACTGGACAGATCCTACATGATACTACGTAGACCAAAACTGCACTTCAGCAAGGTTAAATAGCTTTTTTCTCCCAAACTGTTCTCTTTCTAATGATGCTGCTTTTTCTTCAACATACCTCCTTCTTACTGCTATTTTTCAGCATAACCCACATAAGCTTTTTCTTTAACACAGTGGATAACATACTCTTGAATATTTCACAATGAGTTCTGCAGAACTTAAATAATATCCTTATTTCCTCAGGATATTTTAAAAGGCTTAATTCTTCAGAAACCATAAATACCTTAGATTCTACTGTCATACTCTGCATGATCACAGAACTAAGCATATAAAAACAAGGCAAGAAGCAGCAGAGTTTAACAGAGTTAACATTATATAAGCATTTTTCAGACCAAATTCCTCAGCAAAATGAACATCAGTATACACAAAGGCCTACAGAGAATGACATTGACCTGACTTGGTATCATTGCTGTGATTTAATAACATGGCTACTAGGCTGGTATCAAACACAGAGTAGTACACTGAAGAGAAAAAAAAGCCTATGATGACTTCAAAAGAATCTGTGACTATTGGAGCTCAGAATATAAGGCCATTTTGGCAGATGGGGAGCATGGCCTTGCTGATGAGTAAGTTAGGAGCACCAGCATGACATTTTAAGCAACTGTCAGGTAGACAGGTAAAGGAGGTACCAGATGTCATCATCAACAAACAGAAAAAAGCAGCATGAAAGAAATGTCACCATGCTCTTTAGTGATAGAACTCATCAGCTACAACATTTGACTGTCTTGTTCAAAACTATGCTCCTACAAAGGATGCATAAGAAATCAAAAGGTTCTAAGATGAAGTCAAAGAAAGGCTCGGCAACATTGGAACAAAACGTGGTGAACGCAAATCAAAAAGCGCAAGAACATCACTGAGGATGTTTTGGTGAGTTTGGTATAGGCAGAGACACTTGAGGAAAACAGCTGCTCTGTGTTGTGAGATTTCATAGTCCACCTGTACAAGATGAAGCTCAAACTGAACAGGACACAGCCAAAGGAAACAGATGATGGATAAGCATGGAAGCTCGGCACCGCAGTTCTCCTGAGGCAAATACCACGTCACATTCCAACCTTATGCTCTGTAGCGAAAACCTGACTTTGAGACATGTGAGCTACAAAGAACTGACAAGAACAAGGAGGAGATGCTAGAAGGTCTGGTGCAAGGAAAGAATATCAGCCACAGCTTGATGGAACTTAGAAGAGCTTTGTGAATTGATGTCTGCGCTGAAAGAAATGAAGTGGGCTTTGAAGCCAGAGCTTGAGTGCAGACCTAAAAGGCCGTGGAAAGTGAGGATTTCTACCTACCTGATGTAGTGCAGCCACAAAATGACATTAATGAACAGCCACATGAAGGTGTACAGGGTGCTCAGCAGGAAAGAGTAACTAAAGAGGATAAGAACTGTCTCCCAGAAGAGCAGTAGCAGCAAGGCTTTCCAGTCAAAGCCCTGCTCAAGGGAGACATATGGAACCACTTCAGACTGTTTAAGCACAGTAATGTCAACTTTGCATCATCCAGGCTGCCTATGGCAGTGCTCTCAGGGAAGCTAGACCTTCTGGATCCTACCATCAAGTCTTTCACACAGTCAATAAACCAAAAGCTAAGACACCTGAAAACTTTGAAACTATACTCCTGCTTGGTCAGGGCAGTACCAGTGGAACATTTTGCTTAAAACCAGTGAAGATGCAGGCAAAGAACAGAAACAGAAGTCCAGAGGTCATGCTTGCACACTACCAGAAATTATGTTCTCATCAAATGGTTGTGTGTCCTTAGTAATGAAGAAGGAAGGTTCAGTTATACTGGACACATCAAGCAGACAAAGGACATCCACTTAATTTGACCTTTACTGAAACAAAGATGGTGTGGTAAGTGGATAGATGCTGGAGAAGATCTGTGCAGCACACAGCTAAAACCAGAGCTTGTCCTGCAGTACAAGGCACAATGGTTAAGGAGAAACACATTTTGTCATGCTTTGTTCTGTACCCTCAGAGCTGTTCTACTGTGTATCTCCCTGGCTATCATTATGAGGCCAGCTAACACCACTTTTTCTTCCCAGAGATCAAGAGAAGGCAAGTGCATAAGAAGCACAGTTTTCAAAAAATAATTCAGTGATTTAGCATCTTAAAGCTCCATTAAAAAAAAAAAGGAGGAGGGGCCTGTGTATTTTATTTTGCATGTAACCTCTAAACGTGTAACTTAATTTGGGAACAAGATATACCTTTCAAAATCAGTTACACCACTAAAAATTGAGCAAATTTCCTTAAAAGAACACCAAGAAAACTGGTGTTCTTCCAATACTTTAAAACATCCTCTTCACTGAAACAAAAGAGAATTCAAAAAGGAGCACAATGTATTTCATAACTGGTTTTAGCACATCAGCATTTTAATTCATAATACATACACTGGCAATAAAGCAGATGTCATAAAGCAGCCAAAACATGCTCCAAAACATATTGACATTAAATACAAAAATGGTTGTCATTGCTTTTATCTATCACACTGTTTTGAAATTTATATTGCTAACAAGACAAGAAATCACACATATCCTGCTCTTAAGAGGTAAGACACTCCTAGTACTCATGTTCCAGATGAAGAGGAAGTTATCATGTTAGTTTTTATTTTCTTGGCAATCCCTTAAATGCACAAAGATTAAAAGATGAAGTCAGAAGCAAGTTTTCAAAAGATCTTATCTGCAAAGGGAAAAGTCCTAAAAGCTATTATTTAAACAACAGAATTTCCTCTTCTTTGTCTTGATGTAGAAATGGAAGGTAACTTCTTTTAGATTTATTACCTCCTTTTCACAGAATCTGAAGACAGCTTAAAATTTTTCCAGTTTTCCATTTACAGTATTTTAAGATTATTTAATGGAAATCTCTTAAACATTTGGTAACATCTCAGATCACACTCTCTAATTCCAACACTAGATACTGATTCAGTATTAAAACACAGAAAATATACCCGTTTCTGGAAGTGTTTGTCCACCATAATACTTTAAATCAGAAAATACAAAGGCCCCAAGCTTCAAAAGAAACTATACCACAACAAAAAAGGCTGGATCTCACCATAACTCAAACAGCTTGCTATTATCTTTCTGAGGATGTTATTCGTAGCTACATTTCAGAAAAAAATAAACATGAAATTTAAAGAGATAAAAAGATATATAAATATACTTCTAGACTCAGAACACTTATGAGCTTTATTATTGCATGACAGCACATAAGCAGTACAGGAAACAGCAGCAGGAACCTGCAGGCTCTGTAACAATTTGCAGCTTATATATGAATAGTTAAAATTATTAGATTTTTATTCCCCAAAGTAAAACGTTTTTGATTGCTCAATAATAGAGAACATTATTAGTCCATTAGTTACTTCTTTATTTAGAAGCCTCAGAAGACCAAAGAAGCACATGGGCTGAAACCATACTACATTTCAACCTTTTCATTTCCTTCCATTAGTGTCTGAAGGTAGCTAACAACCACAATTAAAAGCAGTAACTTCACTGTCAAGGGCCTCCTCTGAGCCAAGTCACTTGTACAAACCTCAGAAACTATTATCAGGTGAACACTTCACCCAGAAAAAGGGCACAAGGTGCTACTCAATAAGCACGGGAGAACTAAGGATAAAAATAAAAGGCAATTGATACTTGTTCTTATCCTCTACCATTCAACAAATAATCAATCATATACACGTTCTCCTTCCAGAAGTTTTTATTGCTGGCATTTATTTCTTTTGAACCCTTAGCAAATTCTGCCAGAACTTTTCTACCAGCCGCTCCACAAAACGAGAGAGCACACTGTCCAAAAGCACTTCACCTTTGAGTACAACTATTCAAAAAGGAAACAAACCAAAATCAAACCTTTTATGTTTCATAAGGTAAAGCAGGAGCATGTTGGCATCATAGCACTGCCCAAAAGAAACTTCTTCTTTTCATAAACAGCAAGTCTCACCTTGGTATACTCATCTTTGGCCTTGGTAAGCATCCGTAAGATATCCACTTCTTTGTTATTAGCAGAGTTCATAAGCATTGGGGACACTCCTGTTCCTGTGCCCTGCTGTGCTTTGAATTGTTCCTGCTGAGTGAGGCTGAAAGTTGGAGGGGAGAGGAGAGTATACAAGACAAAAAAACCAGATAAAATATAAAAAGTTTAACCACAACTACCGTACAATGCTTAATTGAAACTCAAATATTTTTGTTTTCCCCCTACCTACGTTAAAGCATGTATTAAAAAGATCACTATTAAAAGATCTATATAAATCTGTAATTTGACATGAGATCAATTTGCTCCCATCTCGAATACACTAGACCACAGAATAAAATTTCTGTAACTGAGTCACAATTTCTACATCCAGAAGGAGCAGGGAATTTATAGTGTTATTCAGTTCTGCTGGTGGTGGAGGATGGCAAACACACACAAATCAGGCATTAACTACTAGCAAATGACCAATTTCCTGCCCCAGCTGTTTTACTATTATTGTAGAATGCTGAGAATTAAAACACGCAGCCAATTGGCTGAGCAACAGGGTATTTTTTATCTATATGAAATACTGCTATTATAAACCACTACATGTGGTTTACATTTGCATGAATCCTCTGAAAACTAGGTTTTATTGTAGTAAATTACCAGTTTGAGAGCACCTAATCACCACCAACTGAAACTTGAGCTAGTTAACTAAAACGAGCTGTCAAAAACCTGGGTTTCCTGGGGTTCATTGCTTATTTCTGTAAATTCATCCCCATCAATTATTTCTTGGGTCACAACTGACTCATTTTAGAGCTGTAGGATATACAGTAAAACCAACAAACCCCACTAAACAAACCCTCAACACTGTCACAGTCAGTGTTTCACAATGTTTTGTCACTGCAAAATGAAAAGCAGCAGGTAGTACTTTAAAAAAGGATATACAGAGGAAACATGACTACCTTCCCATGCAGTATTTTATCACAAATCCGATCTGGAACATAGCAGTAGAAGAGTTAGAGCACTTTGCTATGAACTGAGACGTGTGAGGATGAGCCCTGTGTGGACTTGTACTGCAGGGCACATAAATGGGCTTTTGGGCATTTGGCAACTTTGGCAATCAAACTTGATGTCACTCCCTCAGCAAGCCTCTGGCTACAGAAGCTGTTAGGACTGAGACAGATGACCTGAAAGGGAGAGTTCCACAGGTCTTTGCACTGTGCTTTGTTAGCACCTAATACTGTCAGCTTGACTGTACCCACTTCCCCGTGGCCTTGCTTGGGATGATAAAGACGTGGCTCTACATCATCCCTCCTCCTGTCCCTTGCAAGATTTGTGATGCAATGATATGTCCAGCCCTCTATACCACAGGAAACTGGAATATCCAATCACTGCCTGTTCCTACCCAGCCCCTTCAGCATATCCTCCACATTATAGCTCTAAAAAATTTAGATTGCATATATTGATAAAATTTGTGAGACTTCAGCTCTTTCCTCCTCCAAGCAAACATTAAATCCTGCAGAACACAGTCATAAGAAAAGGCTCATTGCAAACAAGCCCATAATTAGGCTGCCTGAGGGCAGAGCAGAAGAATGAGCCTTGTCCATCCTGGACACATGAAGAAAGGAGAGTGGAAAAAACTATCCATGACATTCTCATATTAAAAACCAGCTGAGAATATAGTTCTGTGTGATCTCCAACTTGACTGCAAAACTAAAGCTTCTGTAATACGTATAAAATAATAACATCTTTATGTACATGAAAGTAAGAAATTCAAAGATAATTGAAGTCTTGCTTTATATTCCAAAAACAAAGTGAATTTTGTACATATCACTAAGAAATGAAGAAGCAGGAATTCAGTCATGATGTACAGACAGGACAAAACCCACAGAAATTGTATTAATATATTATGCCTTCAAGATAGCCTGCACTTACCTTGATTGAAGAAAAAAGGTAACAGTAACATTGAAAATCAAAATCTCCCCAAACCGAAAAATATATTAAACCCCCAAAGAAAACAATTCTTCAAAACAGATCTCTGAGTCATCAGGAAATAAATCATATCAACTGTTACACTCGGATGTAGCTGGAAAGCTGCACTGCAAATTAGGAAAAAGTATTGCAATATAGTGACTTATTTCTGATTATACAAAATGCAGGCTTGACAACTGCAACAAAGTTTATAAATACAGGTTTAAAGCAGAAAGGTACGATCATTCTAGAAATATAATGTGCATGTATGTACAGAAATACATACATAAAAAAGTCTTGGTTACCCATCACTTACTTTTTCATGAGCTCTGCAATTCTTTGGCATTCTTCCTTATCATAAAACCAAATCCCATATATGGACACTGCAAATGCACATCAAACACAAACTATGAGAATCTCCTCAGACAGCAATTCTACCTGGTAGATATTTAAAAGTGACCTGTAAAGAAATTTTAAAATTTATTTCTGTCTTATGTTTTCCCCATCTATAAACAAAAAAAGACACCTGAGATCCTATAAAAATCAGAAAAGATCAAAGGCACATTTCTAAGCATGTAAATTACAAGCTCTTAAATATTCAATAGAGGCAAAGGTATTTGATTCTTTTCTTCAGAACATTAAACCAGTGGGGTTTTTTTCTTTAAAATCTTTTTCTCTGCCATTTTTTTCAGGTGTCATATCACATCCATTAGACTCCAGTGACTAGCTTACTGCAGGGAGTGTTGCAGCATACATAAGTAGGAAAATCTGTTTAGCTTTCAACAGTGTTTAGTGTATAGGTCTATCCTATAGAGCATCAAAGTTGTTGAAGTAGTAGGAACACAGCTGTGCCTCCCCGCAGATTTCCTATAATGCTGCCCATGATTTTCACCACAAAAGAAGTAATTATCTGCAGCCAACCCCAAGATTAGAATTCTATGCATAAGTTTAGATCTTCACTAAAGTAAGGGTCTGCAGCAACAACAGATTTGAATTTACTAGTAGTTCAAGATTTTCAAACATACACACTGCTAATGAAACCACCATGGTAAGAACCATAATGGGACTGTAGTTAGTTCAGGTTCCATAATCATCCTAAACAGGGAGCTTTTTTCCACTCACAGCCCTGTGATATGGCTCTGGTAAGATAGCCTGGGAATAAATCTACAACACTGTCTCAAAACAATCTGTCCACATTTGTCAGGGTAACTGTCCTAGTTTTAACCTCAGGCATCTGCTGTGAGAAGAGGAAGGCAGAAGCACAAAGGCTTAACACAGATCTTCCCATCTCTATCACCACAACCTTGTGCACCATCCACGTTCATGGCACCAAAGAGGTAAGTGCTGTGTTTCTTCCCCCTTCCCCCTCCTACCCTATTGCAGGCAAGAGTTTTCCCTTAACCTTCCTAAGAAATGGCAGTTCTTAACACGTCTTCAAACACAGTAGTGGCTAGATTTCGTTTGAAAATGGGTTTCATTTGAAATGGATTGAGTACCTGCTTAAAAACAACTGCAACACTGACCCTGATGATGTAATATTTCCTCAGATCAGCAGAATCCAAAAGCAATAACTCCTTCAATTCCACTGAGCCAAACCCGTGGCACATGAAGTGTAAGTTGGCTTTGTTAGTGTTTGGAAAGAAAACGAATGTACAGCTGCTTGTAAGACACAAGTGTAATATTTTTCTCCATTCCCCCTCAAATTTTTCAGCTGTGTATTGTCTTCTATAGAACTACAAATGGTTCAAACTGTTTAATGTAGCACATTGGTCAAAAGTCTAAACTATCCCAAAAACCAAAAGACACCCTGTAGAAATACAAAAATTGACTTTTAAAAGATGTACTGTCCTTTTTATGACTAATGAAAAGTGTGATGATTTCTATTATTCACCTAAAAAAGGCAAGTAACATAATACGCACCAGTGGTTCTACAAAAATGCAACATAAGAGCTGAACTGCACAAATGATCTCAGTTTTTTTAACATAAATATTAAAATATGCATGAAAATATACATTAATATTCTAGCACATTCCAATAGGCATCCAATAATAAATTGTGAACCTGCAGAAGAGTGTGTGAACTCACAAGGTTCCAAAACACCAACCTGTTACGCAAAACTACACATTCTTCTGATGAAACACATTTGAAAACTTACTGTCCAAATCACAAATAACCCTATATTCTTCAATCCAATGACAGAGCAAGCAGACTGAGAGCCCCAGACAAATCAAATTTGTTTTAATCAAGATTCTTCTTTGTTAGAAAAAAATCTGAAGAGTAATGATGAAATTTTGGCCATCTGCTTCATCTTCTCAAATTTTTTTATGTCTGCCACAGCTGGTGGCACCATCAATATGAAACACAGGTTGAGTAGCTTCACCTTTTGGCCAACTGATCAAACATGTCATAGACTCCTTATGAATATTTAATAAATCTGAATGCTGACAGTCCCTTGGAAATGCTGCAGGGCTTCTGGCCATTAAAAGTTGAAAGACTGGACTCAACTACTGTTGGAATCAACAGTAAACTGTTTACTAGTTTACTTCAACTCAGTGACAAACACAAGTAAACTGTCTGATAACCAGTATAACAGATCATTTCAGATTTTACAGGACTACAACTAATATTTTGAAATAGAATTCCAACAAATACAAACCCATTTCAGATCACAGAATAAGGACACTGGGTCTGTCCCACCAAACCAAACCACCACCCTTAACTCCAGCTTAAAGTCAGGATACTGCAGAGCCAGAGACCTTCAGCCTAGATGTCAGCTGAGCTTCAAACCCACTCACAGTTCCCTTCTCACCTCAGTTAAATGGTACTTTCAACTCAGATTAGGAATCACAGCTGAAAGCCAGCTAAGACCAAAGCCCAACAACCTCTGAGCTTACAGCTCACCCAGTCGGGAGGGAAATCTTTCAGAAGTGGACAGTTCTACCCTTCCTTCCACACTTCTCCCATCTGCCCAGAACAGATGAACACTTCAGAAACACACTGAGAAATAATCACTCAGCTGCTCCATTTGTGGCAGCACAACATACTCCAAGCTCTTTCATGCGTGCGAGAGTGAGGTACTGGTGAGAAGGCAGTAAATTGTGGGAATCTGAGACACCTGGAGTAACCATGGTGGAAATTCACACTACAGTACTATATTCTGCTATAGTCTGCATTTAAGGGAGAAAAAAGTGTCAACAGTAGTAGTAAAAATGTGTATTAATGGCCTTCACCTTGATTAACGATGAACACAAAATGGCAAAAAGAGTTCTGATGTGTGTGACAACACGTAAAACCCCACGACCAGAAAAAGAACCCAAGATGATTACGAACTGTAACTGTCAAGTGGTGAACCTGGCACACTTGTACACACACAATAACAATTTCACTGCAAGCTGTCTACCATCCTGAAAACACTGCATGTCTTACCAGGATTAAATCTAAACAGATTACTTTTATCTGCCTTCCCTTTCTATCTATCAGACTGTTTGACAAAACTGAATTCCTGATCTAACTATCATCTGTAGAGCGGTAATTTCACTAAAATATTCACGTCAAAAATACATCATGAAACAGCAGAGGAAAAAGCAAATTTTTCTACTGCTGCACAGAAGAGGAAATATTAAGTCACTTTTAGGCCCAGCTTCAACCAGAAAGTTACCCAAGAAGAGATTATTGTAAAAAACAGAAAAAAAAATCAAAATCAATTGATGACATTAAAGGAAAAAGAAAGCATCAAATTACAATGTTCTTAACAAGATTACACAAAGCTAGAAGGATATAATGCAGCTATCAAATCAAGAAGATCCAATTAATATTGAATGTGAAGCTAAATAAATGACTGAAATAATCTAATTGAAATTATTAAATATTAAGGGATATCAGTCTTTAGAATTTTTAGAATTTGAAAAAGGTAGACTACCCATAAATCAAAACTGAAGAATTTTGAACTGAAAGTCTGTGAAGCTCCTTTAATAGCTCAGTGGTTGAGTTTCAGGAAGTACACTATTTAAGTTTTAAATCACGACTTCAGAGCCAATTCTACAGCTTCCGCCTTACAATTTTCATTTTTTGGCTATGGATTTCTCCTGTCCTCACAAACACTAGAGCACTTGATACTATTTATAAGCAGAAGCTGACAGCTGCTATCTACCAGAATTATGGATAACAATTTCTAACCTCTCAGTATTTGAAGCATTTATTTAGTTATTATGATAATGCAGAACTTCCTATCGACTTGAATCACTCACGTTAAGTATTCTATTACAAAGGACAGCATTCTCTAGGATTATTTGTTTTACTCTTTATTTTTCCAGCTATCAGCTTTTTTTGCCTTCTACTGGCTAGATGTTTCCATTACCAAAGTTTTTCTTTCAGCACACCTGGAACACACGATTTTTAAGCTATTGCTGCACAGACTGTATAAAGTATTCAAGATTGGTAAAAATTAATACGGAAATAACTACTTACCAGAGACTCCCCCATACCCTGCTGGTATTATAAATACATAAATAAAATTGTTCTTAAACTTTCATATTTTATATCATGCTTCTTAAGGTACTTTATTCCCTATGCATGGTCTAGACTCTTGCTCCTGAATATGTAAATCCATGCCTGGCTATATTAAAAAGCAGTTCCTGTACACACATCTTACGTGGCAGCCAGACACCTTCATGTTGGTCGTCTTTTCTCTTTGCTGTCTACCATTCCTGTAATATTTGCCTCTTCAGCAAACTATCAATGCTTGCATACCTTCTCCTAGTACTTTTTAAAATACTGCAGCCCCCAATTTGCAGCACCTACTGAAAAAGGAACCAAAGTGAGTTATATCCACAATAATAATTTTTAATCTACCAGTTCTTCACCTAAAACATGAACTAAAGCATGCCATGTCAATTTTGTGCTCCTCTACTCCAATGCAAGTGTGTTTCTTTTGCCCATGATGTTTACAGGCACAATACAAGCATATGATGTTCCACCTACTTTGCTCAGGCTCAAGAGGTGCAGGAAACTTGCCTGTTGAAGCTCTCTGTCCTGCTCTGCAGCACAATGCAAGAGAGGACTGCAACAAAGGAAAGCAAATACAAAAGAACCTGCAGCTGAGGCAACTGCACACTGTCTTGGAAAGCTGAATTCCACCTCTGATGCTGCCCCAGAGATGTTGTGCAATGATACACAAGCTGTGAAATGTCATCTTAAGTGGCTGCACTGACTGTGTGTGCCTCATTTCCCAGTGTTTGATTTGAGATCCCAGACCTCTGGGAAAGATTTGAGTGCATGACCTGCAAAAACACCACCTACTTACGAGCACAATCAAATCCAAGTCTGTAAGAAGTGGTTTTGATCATGTGAATAATAAGTATACTGGAAAACTTCGGCTCGAAT